GTTCGGATCCCGGGTGCGCATCGAGGCACCACTTCTCCGTTCATCCTGAGGCCGAGTCCCACATACAACAACTAGAAGGATGTGCAGCTACGACACACAACTATCCACTGGGGCTTTGGGAAAAATAAAATAAATAAAATCTTAAAAAAAATAAATAAATAAAAAATAAATAAAACACACAAAATGCATGGAGAAAAAGAAGAAAGGATTACATAAAGACATTCTGAACTTTTTTTTTCCAGTATGAGAGTTTATCATTTGACAGTTGGCAGCAGTTTGATTGGAGACATTTTATCTAGATTTGGTTATGAAATTCACTTGCAAAACCACGGTTTTCTAGGCTGAAGAGCAAGTATATGTAGCTCTCACGGTTCCCTTGGCTAAAAGGAGCCATCTTCTTAGGGAGTTGCTACTTGGGGAAATAAAATTGGGTCACTAAAATTATGTCAATGAAAACTGACAAACAAAGAAGACCTACTTGGTTCTTGAGAGCTTTCGATATGAATTTTTAAATTGTGTCTGTAAACACAAAATCATGACGTTAGAAAAACTATTTCTTCAAGTTGATATACTTTTTCCCCCCAAAATTAGTTTTCAAATATCAGCTCACAGGAAGGTGGTGCACTGAGACCCCAATTACGAGGCCACACAGAAAGACATCACCCCTCAAGAGGAACGATGGAAAATCTCATTCACCAATAACTGATCAGAAAACACTTACTATTTTTTGAAGTCACACACACACAAACATACGCATTCCAGTAAGCCTAGTCTCAGAGTATGATTACTCAATACCACCCCCGTAAAAATTAAAAATTTAACCTCACTCCATTTAACTCGGGCAAAGCCACAAGACATGAAGAGAACCAAGGAAAGACATGCAGTTGGGCCAGACCGACCTGCCTGCAGGGATACGGTTAGTCTGTATACATAACGGGATATTCTTAGAAGTAAAAGGCACACAGCTAAATAATTACCACCAAGTCTTTTTTCCAAGCTTAACCAAAAAACAGCTGGAAGCTCTGTCCTCTCCCCTTTCCAGGATCTGATCTGTCCATCTAGTTTTTGAATACCTTTAACAATTACTCAACCACCTGTTTCGAGGGCTTCCCTGTTGCTCAGAATGCCACCTGTACACTTCTGGAAGGAGAAAACCCAGGAAGATAGGCTTCCCCTCCTCCCAGGTTTGTGTACAGATAAATACCCATTCAATTCAGTCCCAGGGCAGAGTCCAAACAGGGAGAGAAAACGCAGGGAGGGTCAAAGAGACCCCATGAGTCCAACAACTGGGAGAGAGAAAAGAAAAAGTGCTGTGGCTTTCTGTGGTTGGGGTGCATACCAGGGCGCCCCCTCTCCTCTGGAAGGACCCCCAGGCCTCCAGTCTGACCAACCCCTGTCCAGGATCAGAGCTCCCCGCCCCGCCTCCTAAGAGTGCCCAGTAAAAGGAAAAGGGTGCTGGGAGAACCCCAACATTTCAGAATGGAGAGGACGCTCCCCAAGCACTCCAGGACTCGGGCCGCCTTCTCAGGAGGCAGCCACTCAACCCCTCACCCCCCAGGAGGGCCCAGGCCGGGCTGGGGGCCGGGCACCCCGAGCGGGTGCCGAGCACGGGGCCAAGAACACACCCCAGCCCTGGTGGGGGGGCGGCAACCGGGCAGGCGGGGCCTGCAGGCCGGGTTTGGGGGTGCGCCGGGCCGGCCCACGAGCCCAGGAGGGAGCGCCCCGG